GGCACGCACGCACACGTGTCCGGTGTGAGTTTAACCCACCAGGTCCGGGACTCAAACTGCAGTTGACTGCGTGGGAGTCCAACGACATAGCCATTACGCCAACTGCTGGTCCCAACATAGTTTATGTCTAGTAGGAAAATAGCGAGGCTTACCTCTGCATGCCAGCCCAGCTTCCATAGTCAGGGCCTGCCGTTTCTCTTCCTCAGGAGGGTAGAGCCTGGGTCCAGGCCGCCTGGGTTCCATTCCCAACACCTGTGTTCGTCAGCTCTGTGAGCCTCAGGCAAGCTGTTAACCTCATGGAGCCTCGGTTTTCTCATCCGTAAATGGGAAGAATTTAGGCTTGTGGGTGGGGTGGATTGAATGAGACGACGCACCCACTGTGTCTGGCACACAATAGTTGCCAAGTGAACTTTTTACAAAGTCTGGCTTCTGAACGACACCATCTCTGGGTGTCCACGGCGGGGGAAAGACCAGCGTTTTAGATCTATAGACTCATGACCATTCAATTCTAAACAATATTGATTGGGTTCCCACCAGGTCTGGAAAAAAATTAATAGGACCCCTGCATCATCTGCTCCCTGAAATAAGCTCTGCTGTGACTGCAGCTGCGTTTATCATGCATCCCCTGCATCATCTGCTCCCTGAAATAAGCTCCTCTGAGACTGCAGCTGTGTTTATCATGCACGCCCACGTGCCAGGCACCGTTTAGCCCCTTTGGGGACCGGCTCAGTTAATCTCACAGCAGCGCCCCTACGAACATCAGCCTCATTTTTGCACATGAGGAAACCGAGGCCAGATGGAGCAGGAACTGAGGCTGCAGAGGGAGGGCGAGGAGGGGAGCCGGAGCAGCTCCGCAGGAACACATGCAGCCCCGGCGCTGTCTCTCGGGTGTCCTGAGGGGGATGAAGCCTGCTCCCACCTGCAGGGGAGGCACGCGGGCAAGGTGGGCAGGGTGCAGGGAGCTCCCGGGCCTCCAGGAGGGATGGTCCGCTTTAGCTGGGAAGCAGAGGGGCAGGAGCAGGCATGTTGGGTCTGAGAAGACACCTGGGCCAGGCAGGAGTGGCAGTGAGAAGCAGAGGGAATAGCATTCCTGGAGGCAGGAGCAGGGGCCACCGGTGGCAAGCAGCACGAAGACGTGACCCTGGATAAAGGGAGCGCCCGTGTCCCCTACCCGCCGCCAGGCCGCGTACCTGCAGAGACTGGGGGTGAACACGGTGGTCTTCGAGAGGCGCCATGTGATCGGAGGTGCCGCTGTCACGGAGGAGATCGTCCCAGGTGAGCCCCCCGTGGTGTGGGGAGCAGGGGAGGAGCCCGCTGCTGACGGTCTTCATCCGATTCTGTTCCAGGGTTTAAGTTCTCCAGAGCGTCCTACCTCCTCAGCCTGCTGCGACCACAGATTTACACCGACTTGGAGCTGAAGGTAGACCCCCGTGGCAGGATGGTGGGTGGAGGGAGGGCCAGTTCCATCTCCCACCTGAGGTCTCTCTCTCTCCTGTCTCAGGGCTCATCTGTTCCACGTGGTTTTGCCATTATTGGGTGGTCGGAAAAGCCTGGTGTATTTTCCCATGTTTTTCTGTGCAAAAATGCATCATGACTTTTCTGACAACCCAATACATTCCCACACATGGATTGGGTATTCAAAACTGGGAAATTTCACGGAAAAACTGGACCTCTTTTGGAGAATGAGTTTTGTCCACATTCTACGTGGTGGTACTTGGCTGGTGCCTTGGCAGGGCCAGGAGCTCCCAACTCTGTCCCTGTCACTTCCTGGTGACTTTTTTTTTTTTTTTTTTTTTTTGGCCCCCGTAGAGCCCTCACC